ATTCCTGTGCTTGGTGGAAATACTGGTAATGAGACCCTGTCTCAAAAATAACATTAAAAAAAAAAAAAAAAAAAAAAAAAAATCAATTGATTTGTTTAAAATTGTTGTATAGACCCAGCCATTTTCAAGGTGAAAATAGATAGTCAAAGGTGGACAACTAAGCTTTTTGAAGAACAATCTGTAATTTACCACTAAATCTCATATTAAAGTAGTCATCATTTGTTATATTATTTTAAATTCTAAACTTTGAGATGAGATTTTTCAGAATAAAATGATGGGATTTGAGAAATATATGAATCAGTGACATACATTAATCACAAGCTTCTTGATAACAAAACATTCAGAGGGATTGCTAGAAAAATACCATTTAAATGTTTAATCAATGGATTTCTAAATACAGCAGACTATTTTTATGAGAGTTCACATTTTAAAATAAATCTTTATTTTCTCAGCTAGTTTTTAAATTTCAACTATTGCTGTTAGCATTTGATAGATTTGTGTAACTGGCATGTCTTGCTCATGATATTTTGCTTCATTTGTTTAAGTATTAAATTTTGCAATGCCATTATGGATTGTAAAATAATTGTTGTGCAAATTATTGACTGGTCATCAAACTCAGTTCCTCACTTCCTGAGCTCACACATGGTTTCCAAGGCAACACTGCAATTAGAAGTGGCCACAGCATGAGTCCCAGTTCATTGTAGAGAAGTGCAGGAGATGCTTCTGGGCCTGTCCCCTGGAAGACCTGTGAGTGATTATCTCTTCTGTTTTTTCCTCTTCTGTCAGATTAATGCAAATAATAAATTCTCTGGAAAACACGTGCTGAAAATGACATAGTCACAAAATTGAAGAAACTAGGGTCCCAAAAATTACTGCATGAAAGAATGCTTCACAGCCATCAGGAATACCCCATCCACGTAATCAAAGAATAAACTATTTTTTTCATTAAAATGTTTTTAGCTATCATAGCAGTTCATCTTGATTATCAGCTTGATTGGATTAAGAGATGCCTAGCAGGGGAGCCAGGGCAGAAGGATCACAAGTTTGAGGCCAGCGTGACCAAATTTGCAAGACCCTGTCTCAAAGTGAAGAAAAGGCCAGGCATGTAGCTCGGTGGTAAAGTGCTCACCTGCCATTTTCAGAGCCCTGGGTTCAATCCCCAATACCCCTCCCTCCAACAAAAGGAGACACCGAAAGGCCATCTAGAAAAGGAGATGCCTGTAAGGACACTGACTCTTGAAGCTCACAGCTGAATGAGTTACTAGGAGGTGGGGCCTAGTTGAAGGCAGTAGGTCCAGTGTGCTCGTTTCAAAGGTTATATGTGCCTGGGTTCTGCCTCTCTCTGCTTCCCAGCTGCCAGGAAATGGGCAACCTTCCTGGCCATGCCCTTGCACCAGGCTCTTTCTGCCTTGTAATCAGCAAACCAGGGACAGAAAGCTCTAAAATGATGAACCAAAAAGAAATCTTTCCTTTTTTAAATTGGTATGTCAGGTATTTTGTCCCACCAGTTATGTATACAAACATATAATTGCACACAACACCAGAGAGAGAGAGGAAGGAGGAGGAAGAGGAGGATGAGGGGGATGAAGATGAGGATGAGGCTGGGTGGGAATAGGGGAGAGGAGAGGAGCGAAGGAGAGAAGAGGAGAGGGGAGGGGAGGGGAGGGGAGTGGGGAGAGGAGACAAAGACCACCAAAAAATGTATACACACTGCAGGAAAATAAAAACTTGTATAAATATTTTAATACTAAATTTATCGAGACATCATGAGGCTAACACAAGTTACTGTTGGCCTCTACAATTACAAGAGGTTCTCAAAGTGGCAGCTGTTCACTTCCAGACGTTTATTACTATTCTTTTCCTGAAGCATATATGCATCTTTAGGTGGATTTTACACAGTTACAAAAATATAGGAAGTTCTCCAACATGCAAAAGATTACTTCTTTGGGGCAATGTGGAGACAGGTTCTACCTCCCACCAGTATAGCTAAGAGTGAACAGAAAATCCTTGTCCCCTTTGACAGAGAGAGCATGGGCAAGTGACCCTGAGTCAGCCAATCAGATGTTCCTGCCAGGCCCTTTGACACTTGCAGAAATGACGTTCTTAATTATTCTTTTTTATTTGTTTTGAATAAAACATATGACACTGTCTTCTAAAATTCTTTTCCTCTTAGTTTCTAATATGGACATGTCTTTTGTGACTGTTACCCCAACTCGTCAACTTGACATTTCAAGATGAAGTTACAGACGAATATTTCTGAGGAATATTACCTTTAATGTGCTAGTAGCATTTCTGCAAAACTATTATGATATTTTATGGTATGTTTAAGCAAACTTCTCAGAGTTTCTATTGTTATTGACTGACACATGGTGAGCCCTACACTTTCAGGGTTTTTTTTTTTTCTTCCTTCTTTTTTAAATGCCTGGTGGCTTAGACTAAACAGAGTAGCTTAAAGCAACAGAAATATTGTGTTTACAATAAAGGATTCAATTTCTAATTTTTGCCTTCTATAGGACACATGTAGACTGGAAGACTTTTAATCTATTAAAAGCTTTGATTAAGTAGCCATAAATTTACTTTTCTATATTTCATTACTTCTTTCCTTCTCTCCATCTTGGCAAAGGTGGCAGCATGGGCTATTTTTAAAAGAATGGGCATAACTTTGACACTGGTTAGTGAGGGCTTGGGATTTGGGCTAACATGGAAAATTCAGATTTTGTTGGACACTCAGAACTGTCAATCATACCATCAGTTTACTTGAATATCACTGATCTACCAGATGTTGTGTTAGGTACTGAAGGTACTGAAATACATGAGATATGCCTTGTCTCCAAGAAACCACAGTCTGGGAGGGGAGGCACACATGAAAAGGACATCTACTGCGGTGTGACAGTGTTGTGGAGAGGTGGACAAAAAAGGGAAAGGCTAGTTTCCTAGGATTGCTATAATGAATTAACACACACAGAGTAGTCTAAAGCAACAGGAATTTTATTCTGTCACCATTCTGTCAGCAGGGTACTGTTCCCTTTGAAGCCTCTGCAGAAGCATTATTTCTCACCTCTCCTGGCTTCTGAAGATGCTAGCTATCCTCGGCATTCCTTGGCTTGCAGATGCACCCCTCCAGTCTCCACCTCCACCTTCTCATGGCCTTCTCAGCGTGTCTGAATTTCCCTGCCCTTATAGGACACCAGTCATGTTGAATCAATCCGATGTGAGCTCATCTTAGTTTGGTGATGTCTGAAAGATCTAATTGCCAAATAAGGTTGCTTTCACAGGCTCCATCCAGGTGGACATGAATTTTAGAAGAAACTATCCAGCCTGGTACAGACATCCAGCCCAGATGAAGGCAAGTCTGAAAGACAATCAAAGGATGTTGCTTGCTGTGACTGGCACTTAGGATAGAAGTAAGATGGATCGACACCTCAACATGTGGGATACGTGTAAAACAGTTTTTAAAATGTCCTCTACACAGGAACTTTCATTGTGTTATTTATTTATTCAAGATGAGCTTCAGTCTCAAACATTTGCTTTGTCTTTCTCCTATAACAAGGTCCCCCTTTCTGCTGTAATCCAAGCAGTCCTACTTTATTCTCAGCTGTGAAATATGCAAAATCCATGTGCTAAATATATATCACATTAACACTTTCTGCTTCAAGAGTCTCTCTGTAATCCCGGCTCACCTGGCCTCACTCCAAATGTGAACATGGAACACCTGCAGGCCTCTAATTTTTCTCTGGTTTGGAGTCGAGGGTTATTCTCACCCATAAAGAAGCTGAAAAGATCATAGTGTTAGGCTCTGAGCTGACTTTATTCAGTCAGATGGCCGTTCCACCAACTTTCAGAGTAGTAACCATGTGTAAACCTCTGTGCTAGGTGTGAGGAGATTAAGAAGATAAGTATAATATTAATCCTGTCCTTGAAAAGTCTCAGAGAAAGAAAACACAAGTAGAACACATGACATACCGTAAAATTCTTTGGAAAAGAAATCACATCGAGACCTTTTTGAGACCTTGTTTACAGACCTATTCCCCACACATATTGCAACTCCTCACACACAGTAGTTACTCAAGAAATAGTTACTAAGTTGAACAAAAAGCTTTAAATATTAGACAAAAGGAATCAGTTCTGATCTGAAATGCTCTGAGAACTGAACTCGGTCCCTGGCCTGTCTGGGTCTTTAAAATGTATTTAATTCCTCAAGTTTTGATTCATCAACCATTTCAGCATTTTATCTTAGGATCTTTCTACTCCGCCTTACTTCTGCTGCGATTTTCATCAAGATTAAGAGGGATAGTGTGCAGCTTCGTAGGAGCAACCACGGCTCGGATGCACCTCGCTCCTCACACATTCCTGCAAATGGAATGGCTTGAGAGTCAGGGGGCAGAGGTATCTGTGATCAGTGATGGAACAGAGGGTTCAGGGCCCTTTCTTCCTTTCTTCTCTTCTTCCTTCTTTTTTTTCCCTCACCCCTTCTTTCCTTCCCTCCTTCCTTCCTTCCCTCCTCCTCCCTTCTCCTTCCTCTTCTTCCCCTCTCCTTCCTCCTTCTCTTCCTCCTCCTCCTTCTTTTCTCCCTCTCTCCCTCTCTCTCTCTGTGCTGGGGATCAAACCCAGTGTCTTGCACATGCTAAGCATGCACCATACCACCGAGTTACACCCCCAACCCTGATACAGACTCCTTCTCTATCCTTCAAACTACTACAACTGCTTCACATCTAGTTCTCACCTTATGAAACTCATAAGAAAACTGAAGTCATCACCTCAACTTCAAACTCAGCTTTTGAGGAGTCCTGTAGGGCAGATGGGATTGGAATTTGCAGAATATTTTTTTCACATCCTCATAGCCATTCAGTATTTATCCTTTAGCACCATGCTGGGGCAGAAGAGTGCACATTTGAAGCATCAGTTGTAGAAAGTAGCTAAAAGTGGTAGTTTTTAGACAACGAGAAATAGTCTCATATTTCTTTTGAGTTAAAAGAGTATTTTCTAATCTTTTTTTAAAAATATGAATCCTCTTGGCTGTAATCAGCACAAAACAAAGGCTGAAGGAATAAACTTTGGTTGGGTGATCTGGGACATCTACACGATGGTGGCTGGGGCTAGGTTGTTAAAGATTGAAACATTATTCAGCTAAAGAGAAGCTGAGAATTATCTGTTTGTTTGGGATAATTCACTTCCTGAATAGCCCAGAGCTTGGTCTCCTATTAGATTTGACCTGGTTGCCATACTGGTTGCTTAGGACTTTATCCATCCATCTATCTATCTATCTATCTATCTATCTATCTATGTATCTGTCTATCTATCTATCATTTGCTTTAAAACTCCTGCACCCTGGAAATTCCCTCATCTCTAAATAAGTCATAATATTTGGTCACTCTACAGTGACCAAATTTATCACAATGCTATTTCTCTTCACGTTAGTGTGGCCTAGTCATATAAAGCCAAGGCTACATGACCGAGGCCAGTGAAGCTGGATGGAAGGATCTCTTGGCTCCAGCATCCGCTATGGGTGAAGAAACCAGAAAAAAAGGATTAACTACACAGACACAGTCCCCTAACCCTATAACCTGCCTGTAATTTTCTCAGGAAAGTCTTGGAATCTTGGCTTACTCACCCTCTTCTTTTTAAAAACAATTGCTTTTCAAGGTCAGTCACCACTTCTCTTTTACACTGCTCTTAACAGAAAGGCAAAGCAACGAGCCTGAAATGACCTCCTAGGAACAAGAGTTTATGCCACTGTAAACGCTGTATCCATCAAAAAGAAATTCCAGTTTTAACATTAGCAAAATGAGGATTTATTTTTGCACCCAGAGAGGAATGACGATTTCATCCATGTCCTTAGACACTTCTCAGTTTGTGGATTCTTTCTTATTTTACTCTCTTAATTGGATGAAAGTATGCAGCTGATGATTTATGGCTCTCCAGTTGTGCCAGGCATCATTTTAAATGTGCACAGCTGCTCTGCAGTAGTTTTACTTGGCAGATAGTATTAAGCCTTTGGATTGTGTCATTTATTTGTATATGCATACAATAGCCTCCTTGTGCAGGTTCTTCAAAAATTCTTGCAGGAATAGTTTGGAACCAGGCATTTAAGAAGTCTCGGAGAGTGATTTATTCTTTTGGAAGATTTTCAGAGTTTGTGCAATGAAGAGTGAGATAGCATTTTGTGCCATTGATAAGATCCCAAGGGAATCACAGAGACAGACTAAAGTGGAACAAGGTTAAGAGAGTGACAGGCCCAGTGCTCATGTTTGGGAATGCCAATTCCTACGGTCATGTAGGACATGTTCCTGCTGACAACAGTCTCACTTTCAGTATGACATGTCTCAGAGAAACAGCTAAAAGAGAGGGGTGATCTAATAATACAAGTCTTTGCAGGCATAAATAACTCGAGAAGGCCTGTTGACAATAAAAAATCTGGCATGCACAGAAGTTGACAATGCTATCTTCAAATTCAAAGGGCCCTGAGATTTGTCACTGTTGTCCTTTGTAGTCAGGGATGATATTGTTGACACTGTGGTTATCCTTGTATGCAAGTGTGGCTGAAAATACCAGAATGTGACAGATGATAAGGCCTTTCTGCTGAGTGTACTCAGAAAATCTTTTTTTGGTTTGTATCTGCTGGCCTTCCAGGCACACTTTGCCTTTCACAAAGTCATCATGTCTCTGCAGCAGACCTTGTTGCAGAGTCCTACACTGCCTCCATGGCTTGAAAGCCTCTTCCCTGGACTTCAGGGAGGATGACACATTTTACCTGCTCTGTTTACTGTCTCCCTTGCCAAAGCCAGCCTGGGAATCTAGGACCTGGCCTCCTTCCTCTACTGGGCCTCGTGAGAGGCACTTTGAGATAAGCACCTGCGTTCCTCAGTGGCTTTGTTTATTGGGTATTTTATTATACCACCTGCAGTTTTTGATTTTTTTCTGCAAATATCTGAGGCACTGAAGTGACTCGCCCCTCTTCTCTCAGTTTTGCTTGTCTTAGAATAAGAAAAAGCAGAAGAAACACTTTTGACCTGGTATGTGCCTCCTGTAGGCAGCTATGTCAAACATTATACAATTTGTTGCCTTAAAAAGTGTTTCTTTACTAGCATATCCCCCCAAAGTTTTTGTAAGGCTGAAATATCCCAAAGGGTCATCTGTGAAGCCTGACAATGGGATGTTCCCAAGCCACTGTAAAGATCTCAGGAAGCTTCTCTATGCTGGCTGCTCAAGTCACAGATTTGAGGCTGCAGTTAGTGAGGTCAAGGTGCAACACCAGCGATCTCAGGCCAACAGCCAGCAGTGTTTGGCAGTTGATCACTTTGCCTTTTTGGCAAATAAAAAACTACTTTACATATGTTCAGGATAAGAGCTAGTAAATCTCATTAGTGGTGCCTTAGCCTTACAATCTCCCACCAGAGAAACTGCAGAGTCTGTTGGATAGGGAAAACTCCAAAACCATTCTTAATTGGTTAACCTCTAAGCAAGTTGCCTTAGAAGCTTTTCTTTAAGAAGGCTCTGAACCAAAGAAAGTTACACTGAAGACTGTTGAGAGATGAGAGGGTTAAGAGCTGAGAACAAGCCTGGGCCTCCAGGTGCCTTCAGAGGAGAAAGGTCTGGCCCAGAACACCATGGGCAGCAAAAGGACAGTGAGTGTCCAAGAAAGGACATCCTCTCAGCATGAAGAAGGGGCCTGAAATTTTGAAGGGTGAAGAACTCAAAACATGCCTTGCCCATTCCATGATTTTGCCTTTCTTTGATATAATTCCATCTGAAATGATATTTGGACTTGTTTCTCCAAAGAGTGTTTAAGAATCAGATTTAAACTCTCTTTGGTCAAGGACACAAGAAATGAGGCAAAGATTCCTCAGATTCCCCAAGACTCCAGTGTGTACATCACCAGTCTCTGATCTTCTAGTCATCCTTCCTTCTCCGCCCCAGAGGAAAAGGGTTAATAATAAGCAGCAATTAGTATGAAGAGAGTTTTACTATTCCCATTGCACAGATGAGAAAACCCAAGTTCAGTTATTGGACAGGAATATGCAAGCACTAAGCAACAAAACTGAAACGGAAGCTCAGGCTCATGTGCAAGGGTGAGCAAATTCACAAGTCAGCTCAACTCAGAGAACTCCCTGACTTTTATTTCTTTAGTTCTATCTCAAAACTTCAGGATTTTCCTTCAAAGTTCTGGTGTAAGAACCTCACCAAGAAAGTAGCAAGTTCTTCTCATAAAGTTTTAAAGACCAGTGAGTAAAGAATGAATCTCAACTGTATCCTTGGTGGCCTGTAAAATAGTAAAGAATAGTATTACTACAGTGGTTGACAATTAAAATTCCTCCTCTGTCCTTTGGTTATTTTGAAGGCATCATGTAAAAT